GAAAAAAACATTCAGTGTATAAAAGCAAAATAACGGTTCGCTGAAAGTCTTGAAGTCAATTGCTAAAGAAGGAGAAAAGAGGGGCTTTAATTTCTGAATTATTCATAATGGCACAGCTGGCCACATGCTGGAGTGACAATAAATATTGATTGAATATTTGAACAGGGAAAAACTACCAGACACGAGATCTAATAATCTTCTTCTCGGGTCGAGATAAATGGCAACAGAACTGGGCCATAATTTTCAGTGTTTGTTCTACATAACACGGTTTTAAAGAGTAATAAGCATTTTAGTAATATCCCTTGGAAAAATTTGGCAGTTTGTGAAAGGGTTTGGGACGACTTCGCGGGGTTTCTTTGCTATTATTCCTCATAGTCTTTTGTCAAACTTCGTCTACGGGTGTAGGTCAATTCTCTATACTTCAAAATATGATCATCTATAGGGGAGCAGGGATGACGCAGTTATGAGAACGATCGCCTCCTTCCAATGTGTGGCCTGGGCCCATTTCTCGGAAGTCCCGCAAACTCATTTTTCGGGCCCGCAAAGCCATTTTTAGTTAATCGGTATTTAAAGACAAAGAGGTACATACGTCTGAAACTTCTTGCATGAAGGGAACCTCTGTTCATATTTAGAATATGTGCATAAAACAGCGCTGAATTTATAAGGGTTGAGATTTTGCTACAGCTTTTCGGGTGCGAAAACTTTTCGGGACCTTCGAGAAACGAGCCCCTGGGTTCGATTCCGGCCCGGTGCCATACAAATGTATATGGGTTAAGTTTGTTGTCGGTTTTCGCCTTGCTCCGAGGGAATAGACCTTTCCTGCATTCCACTTCAGTGCGTACGAACAATAGCACCAGAGCGAGGTTGGGGTGGACATTTTCATACATTTGCTGATTTTGTCAACCCTGACCTCGACTCGGCGCCATTGTTTGTCAGAATGTGCGAAAGGTCTATTCTCCGGGTTCTCCGGTTCAGTCTCCCTCCACAAAAATCAACAACTCAAATTCCAACTCGACCAGGATAGAGAGCCCGCATGAAAACAGCTAAGGCTAAATATTGTCTAAATATTGTCTTTCATTGATATATTAAAAAAAAACTTTCGTAAAAAAATTTCTTTTTCCTATTCCAACAGTAAGATGCCAAACAAAAAGTACGAGACGATTACAAACGATGAAGACGATACCACAGATTCCTGTCATCCGTCGATGTCGGCCAATTTTCTCTCTCTTCTTTCCTTCTGGTGGATGAATAGTGTCTTTAAAATTGGAAGCAAGCGACCTTTAAAGCAATCGGATTTCCTGCCGCTTCATGAGAAAGACAGGACACGTGACCTAACAGAGCGACTCCAGAAGGAATGGAACGACCATGTACAAGAATGCAACATGACTGAGGGAAAACAACCCAAACTTTGGAAATGTGTTTTGAGAACGATTTCCTGTAAAGAAATTTTATTCCTCATCAGTTTTTGGCTCTTGGAATCTATCTGCCGTGTCTCGCAGCCACTCGTTCTTGGTTTTCTCCTCCGTTTGTTAAGCTGTCGCCAGAGAGATCGGCCTCTTGCAAACGCATTTTGTTTTCTCCTATCACTGAGTGGACTGTCAACTGCCTTAACTCATTACTCAGCTTACAGATTCGAGTTGCTTGGTATGAGGCTGAGTAGTGCCATTAAAGGAATTGTTTACCTCAAGGTAAGAACCTGTTACACACTGTATATGCAATGGTTACTTACACGTACCGAAGCAAATGTCTGAACACGCTTTTCAGCATTTTCAAAAACAACTCACGGGTTAGATCTTCGCCATCTGAGGTCGCTTTGAAACTAACCAAAAATGGTACGAGTAGTGCCTGACTTCCGTGATCGGGGTACACAGGCTTTTCAATGACTCGCTATCTGATAGATTTCCATTTTGGAAGGGAGGGCGTGGCATTATCCATTCATAGTCTTCACCTACCTGCTTAATCCTGTTCGAGGATAAGTCATATCGTCCAGTTTTAAAAAAACGGTTGTAGTAAGCCCGATAAATGAATAAATAAATAAATAAATAAATAAATAAATAAATAAATAAATAAAGCTTTATAAGCATTCCATTGGGCGTCGCCCCTCCATGCCAAGACCTATATACAGTAATATATACCGACCTATATACAGCTCGATAGCATGAAGTCAACTGAATTCCGGCTTTGCGTCTTAGTGTGCACGGAAAACATTTTGAAAACGGAGACATCACGATAATACCATTTCCCTGCCCAAGTTTTCCTGAACCACAACTTCAAAATGACCGGTTATTGTTGCGTTTTCAAATTCCTCCGGTGGAGTGCTAGTGTGAACGGAAAACATTTGATGCGTTTTCAGAGTGAAACCTCCGTTTTCAACTTCATCCGGGGTAGTGTGGACGGGGCCTTGCAGTAATTGATGAGATGATAAACGTCAAAAACAAATCGAGTGCTCCCACGGGGATTTGTATTTCCTTTCCCGACGATGCTCCCAATTCTTTCTCAGTGATTTTACGTTAACAAGTCGTTATACTTGTCTATAGATTCCACTGATCAGTCAGCAAAGCCTCCGAGAAACAACAACAGGCAATGTTATTCACCTCATTTCGAATGACGTGCAAAGAATCGAGCTGGCCCCCAGATGGATATTCACCGCCTTCATGTCGATATTAGAGCTCGCAGCTGTGGTGTGCTTGTTGCTGTATCTGATTGGCTGGCAGCCTGTGACGGGAATTCTCTTTCTACTGCTGTTACTTCCATGCTTCGTGATCATCTCAGCTCTCTGCGCTCAGCTGCGCCAGGACACCGCTGTCGTAACAGACCGCCGTATTTCACTGATGAACGAGCTGGTGACTGGGATTCGTGCTCTTAAGACGCATGCGTGGGAAGACAACTACAGAGAAAAAGTTGAAGAAGTTAGAAGGTAAGTAAAGAGGAATTTGTAATGATTGTGGAATCATTGTGTAATGATTGTACATGGAGAGAGATGCGATGAACGTTCTTCCTACCAAACCAAAGCACATTCGATGTAATTTCCGCCTTGTCCTTATAGGCGCCGTGGCCTCACGGCTAGAACGTTCGACCCCGGAGCGAGCGGTCTGGGTTCGAGCCCTGGCCGGGAACACTGTGCTGTGTTCTTTGGCAAGACACTTAACTCTCACAGTGCCTCTCTCCACCCAGGTGTATGAATGGGTAACGGCGAATGAAATGCTGGGGGTAGCCCTGCGATGGACTAGTATCCCATCCAGGGGGGAGTAGAAATACTCCTGGTGGCTTCATGCCACTGAAACTGGGGTAAGCTCCGGCCTGATGAGCTACTTGATTCGTATGCAGACTTAACTTACCTACCTTTACCCTAATATATACCTTGTGATTGAAATAATTCTCGAGAAAATATGCAAGTGGGGGACGGGGGGAGGGTCATTTACCTGATATTTTTCAAAGCAGGATTGACAAATTCGAATATTTCTTTTTTGATATAGGCTTATCATACAACAAGGTAGAAATTGTCAGTTACCTGTTTTACTGTCATGCAGTAATTGCATTTGTTTACAGAGTTGTTCCATTCATCATTTAAACCCCATTGCATGACTGAACCTAGCTGTTGAGCCTAAAAATGAAATAGTTTTTATAACTACTCCACACAGTCTAGTGCTTCGACCAGTAACGAGGACCCTTTCCTCCTATGAAATAAGGACACATCTTAAGACACCTAAATAGCCTACATTATCATGAGCCAAACACCAAACATATAAGGCCACAAAAGAACCTTTTTACGCTAACGTGTATTATGCTAGGTTAAAATATCAATGCATAGCTTTCTTTCTGTTCTTTCTCTTTTTCTTTACAGGAGTGAAATTGGGATTATTCTAAAAAAGAGCGCCCTCTTGTCGGTCATTGAAAGTTTTCTCTTCGTGGCAGGGACCGTGGCAACATTCATAGCGGTGTTCGCCCTCGTTTCCACCAATCATGTTCTCACACCTTCCACAGCCTTTATGGTACTCGCTTTCATGAACGTTCTCCGAATTACGTTATCCCTAAGGTTAGGTAACGCTATTCCGCTAGCATTTGAGTTGCTAGTCTCCCTCGAAAGGATTGAAAGTTTTCTACTGTTAGATAACATGCCACTAGATCCACTGGAATACAACCAAAGTTGCAGTGGACGCGAGAGTATTTCCAAACGTGCAAGTATTCACGCGCCAGTGCTGGTGAGGGGACCAACATCAAGGCGCGAAGACGTTGAGCAACTGGATGTTCTTCCAGAGAAACACAATGTTAACTTATCAGTTTCAAGTCTCTCTTGCAAACTCTATGAATCGGGTGAAAAGTATTTGCTTCAAGAAGTCAGTTTTGAGGCATCTAAAAGCAGTCTTACAGTCATCACTGGTCAGGTTGGCAGTGGAAAGTCGACACTTCTGGCGGCGATCGCAGGTGAAGTAATCCAGTCGAGCGGTAACATAGTCTGCTCTGGAACAATAGCTTACGTTTCCCAAACGGCTTGGGTTTTCTCTGGTACTCTTAGAGAAAACGTGTTATTTGGTGAGCCGTACGATGAGAAGAAATACGCTGACGTTATTGAGGCATGCGCGCTGAACGAAGACGTTAACAGATTTTCAAATGGTGATCTCTCATTTGTTGGAGAACACGGTGTTGCCATGAGCGGAGGTCAGCGGGCTCGTCTAAACCTGGCACGCGCAGTGTACGCAGATGCAGATGTGTATCTATTGGACGATCCACTAAGCGCTGTAGATGCCAAAGTCAGTGAACACATATTTGACCAATGTGTTTGCAAACTGCTAAAAGAAAAGGTTATAATCTTGGCGACATACGCAGAGAAGCACATGAAAGCAGCAGACCAAGTTGTGGTTCTCCACAAAGGGTCCTTACTAGCCAAAGGCAGCTTCAATGAACTGCAAGATGACGAACTGAAGATTCTTGATTCCATCAAAGATTCCACAGAAACTTCCAACAAAAAAACGTCGAGTGGAAGGACAACAGATGAAAATGAGATAGATCACTCTGATCCTAAACCAGTCATTGATACTTATGATGAGGATCTGGAGATCTCTGAAGAAGACAAGGCCACTGGTAGTATTTCATTTCGGCTGTATTGGGATTACTTCAGAGCTGGCCTACATCCCGTCTTAATGATCTCCGTGGTTCTCCTTTTCCTAGGAACGCAAGGTAAGTAATTTTTACTAGAAAATACCAGCGAATGGGATGTTTTGTTTGAGAAGATTTGCAAAGCGGTGTCGGTGCGCATGTGTGTGACGCGTCTGCCGCTTGTAATCTAAGACGGCGGGTCAACGTTATCGGGCAATTGACCCTTTGCACGATGCGTGGTTCCAAATCCGGTTGCTGTGACTAAGTTACACACTAAGGACAGTCCAAACGCTGTCATTAGCTGATGCCAATCTAGTTCCTGGACTCTTCGTTCCTTACTGCGCAGGCTTGAGGAAACGAGCGACTCTCGAGAATTC